ATACAACAACCTAAAGTTCCCAAAAAATTTGTCAAGGACCCGTTTTGAGACGAGATCAAGCAGGACAAACAATAAATATCCTAAAAATATACCTTGCTGAAATACCCAGCCAGCGGGGCACTATGAGGACGATTTGGTTCCAAGAAGGAGAAAAGTAAGTTCATTAGCTGCAATCACAAAATAAGCATATGTCAAGACTAGACAAGATTTTACACGCCAAATTCCTTAATCAAGATTAAGATATAATCATAAATACCTTCTCTTCATCCACCAAAGTCTTTAAGATAACATCAATTTCACATGTAAAAACCTCACAAGCAATGAAGGGGAACCTATAGATCATGAGGAAGAAAACATTTAATCAAATAACCAAAAGCAAAACTCAAAAAAAAAAATTAAAATCTCAAACATTTTGGAGAGAAATATATGAGTATAAATAAAAAATGTCAAAAGTCATGCTTTATCAGGATGAAATAATACTTGAAGGCTCGTTTGCTTTCAGCATCCTCAGGAGCTTCTTCAACAATATAACGCAATAATTGCTCCACCTGGTCTCTATCTCGTAAACTGTAAACATAAACTTACACAAGAGTATCAGTTATTCATCCACAATCAAGTTCCATATTACACAAGATATCATCTATGTATAATTCCTCAAAAAATTCCCAAAAACTGTAAGGAAAGCCAACAAATTCAGGTAATGAGTTTAATATATATACAGGAGGGAACTTTGATAATATCAGTAGCAGTACAATCCGTAAAGAGAACATCAATGAGACATTACAAATTAATGAGACGAGTGTTTAAGGCTTTGCACTCTTGGATGATCTCTTCTTCATCCAGAAGCTCCTCTAATGTAAAATTTTCCTTGTCTAGCACTGTCTCCACCTGTACAGGAGAAAAACAACAAGAAAAAAGAACTAATAAGAGGCCATAAAAACAGGAGCATCACAGTCGCAAACAAAGAATCATACATGAGCTCAATGCACTTAGAACTACAGCAGTCAAACACTGTTACTCATGGTTTATAGCTGGCCAAAGAAAAGGCAGCACATGGGAACTAGATGCAGCTAAAGACTGCAGCCTCCAAATCTAAACCCCATAAACCAAAAACTATGAACTTCAAAAGTAGTTCTTTCCCACTACTTCCATCGGTTTCTCAGCAACCAAACAGACGATAATCACACATCGCAAAATTACCAAATTTGAGCTCCCCCACTTCAATCACAATCTTAATAGTAAAAGACCCCACTTATCCAAACCCCAGCAAATACAGGCGGTAAATCGCATATCCCGGAATTACAAAATTTTTAGCTACCCAACTTTAATCTCAATCACATTAATACCACTCTTAGAAAGGAAATCCAACCAACGGAAAATACAGCACACTAATATCTACTTTCCATTCAATTTCGGAAACTAATAAAGCTACGTCCGATCAGCCTAAACCAGTTTGTAACAAAACCCAATTAAACAAAATTAATTAACAATTAACTCCACACCAGCTAAACTTTAAAATTAGCAAATTGAGCAAGCAGAACACCACACCAGTCAATTTCGACAACAAGCATCTGAAATTAGGTTTCGAAATTACAGAGATTGGGAAAGATAGAGAGTTACAGGCGATGAGGCAGAAAGAGAAGTGAGCTTCCAAAACATGGTGAAGAGAGAGAGCAGAGCTGGGAAGTGAGAGCTGGCTTAGATCTGTAAACCCTAGAAGCAGCAGCAGCACCACCACCACCAGGAGGAGAAGCAGAAGCAGAAAATCTAGGCCGTCGCGGGAGACGTGGAGTTTTTGGGAGCAGGCGAGGAGGTCGGTGGATTTGGAGCTCGAAAGCCGAAACCCTAGTTTTTTGAGAGATCGATGAGGGAGGAGGGAGCAAAAGCCGTGAAGATCGAGAGACAGAGAAAATGAGGCCCAAGAAAATAATAAGCGCAAAAAGGGTAATCGGCTCGTTGGCTTATTTGGGTAATTCCCGAATCCCGACTGCTGATGGGGGGGAAAGAGAGAGACGCACAAAGGACTAATGGAGGTCAAATTAACAAACTTTGTGAGAAATTCGTCATCATCCGTTTTTAGCATGTCGTTTGATATGCAAATTGTTGTGTCGTTATCTTTGATTGTTTTATGGTTCGCATTCAGTTTTGATTAATTCCACAAGTGGTGAATTACCGTGGTTGATAAGATTTTTATCTTTAATTTATTACGGTTTGCATTCAGAACAATAATTTGATCAATAAATTGAAATTTGATACAAATTCTCCCTTCTTATTGTTTTGTTCTCTTTTTCACTCACTTTTTTATTGTAATTATTAGTTATGATGATTCATGAATTACTCTCAATTGAATGATCACCAAAAGAGAAAAAAAATTAATTTGAATAAAGAAATATGATGATGATGTGTGTGACAATTTATGGGTATAAAACACGGCAATTATATATGACCACATATTGTTGGTTAGGGATGATGGAGATATTTGATGTTAGTGGTTGAACTAGATTATGTGGCTCTTTCTTGTCTTACAGAAAAAGACATAAATATATCATAAAATTACAACTACTAAGATGAACTAAAATAATTTATTTTAATATATGAACAACCATAAAAGGAATTATAAACCAATTTCTACCAAAACTATATATGCACAAAACTTTATATGGGCATATATACTTATGGTAGAACTACCTACATGCTGATTTTAAAAGCTGTTGTTAGTGGTCATTACTTTTAGAATAAGCAAGATATTTTATTTTTACCAAACACTTTTTTACTGCTGAACTTTAAAGTGAAGCAGATTTTAGTGAAAAAAACAATATCAAACTAGGCCATAATATCTTCTTTGAGTTTAGAGTTTGTATGCATAAATTTATTCATATAGAGGAATATAATTGTGATCATTAAGCACGACATAATTTTATGAGACATGTATTGACATTATGTTATTTTTTTTTCATTGAACTAGGAAATTCAGTATATAAAAAAAAATATTTAAAATAACTATAATTGATGACAAGGCAATTTGTTCATGGCAACTCATATTTTGTTTGGCTTTTAGTCACTAATTACCCAAAACAAAAGTCTTTAGACATAAAGTTTTAGGGCGGTTTCCTTAGATGGTATGGGAATATGAAGGAAGGAGAATGTGTCGAATTTCAACGGGGTATGAGATAGACAATCCACCTAAAAGTTGAAAGAACTTACCCAATTTGGTTAGCTCATATATCTCTCATCCTACAAAGTCATGGCCTATTTGGTTAAGTTGATAGGACCATCACCTGCCTATCCAAAACAGTTCAAGGCTCAAATACTCGCTTAAGCACTAGAGTTTGGACTTTTTGCTTTTTGCTAGATATGGTAAGTCCCTAAAGTATTTGCCTAAGTTGATTTCCGCAGCCAAGGAGACTTGTCGTCTCTGACTACCTTGATAAGATGAATGTCATTCTTGATGATACGAGGATTGCTTACATTTCGACCGAAGATGATCAACTCGTTCTAATATGTTGAAAATTATAAGGAAAAGCATTTTAGAGATTTGATTTGGTCTAAATTTCCTTGTCTTGTAGACAACGGTTTGATTTGATTTATTTCCTATTATTACTTCTTTGTAATCTTATAAATAACTCTATATAGTTTGGGATCTTAATCTATTTAAAAAGATAATTTTAAAGGTAAAATTAACAATGTCAAGATAGTTTTTGGTATAAGACGGCAATTTGCTATAATTTGTTGTTCAACATTCAGTGATGTATTTTTTTTTCAAGATAATAAAATTTCATTAATGAAATAAAATGAGGAACATTTATCGATCAGGAATACTATTTCAAGATTATAAACATAGCAGAAAAACAATACAAAACCTACCAACATAATCACATCTAACCAAAATGAAAGATTACGCTCACGAGTACAAAAACCTTTTATCTCTTTTTGATGAACTTGCAAAGACGACACTCCTTCGGCAAAGAAGCCTTGCTACAAGACATCACGAAGATGCTATTATAGTCCTTTTCTAGGCAAACAGACAACGAAACAACAACCAAACTAAAACAAAAAAATGGACACAACACAAAACAAACTCTTTAGAGGCACAATTCCTCAACTACGGGAGACATATCTAAACAACATGAAAGATAAGCTCACAAAGCATAAACCCTATGAGTTGGACCCATCATCTGAAAAGTTTACAACGACAAGAAAACATGAATGTGAATTCCTCAAGCCGCTGCAATGACCCCACGAGGAAAAGATCGCACCTCCCTTTGGTGATCTTAGAATAGTCGACAAAAAATATGCTATGAGTCACCTTCAAAAAACGCCAAGTTTACTCTACATAATCCTTGCCAAGCACATAAATCACAAAATCACTACCTTAGATGTAGATAATTGTCGCTCTAAGATCTTGGGTTGAGCAGTAAATCATAATCGTTACAAAAACTCTTCCCTAAAAGAAAAAGTAAGCACAACTACAATCACAAAGTTTCTCTTCAATGAAATGGGAGAGCGATCACTACCAAAAAAGAGGAAATAAAAAGAAGAGGTAAAAAATAATAGCGGCCAATTTAAAGGCTAAAGGCTGCGTTTGGCGGTAAAGTTTTTCTTTGGGTTTTTTTTTTTTCCTTTTGAGGTGGTTTGGTAAAAGAATTTTTTGTTTGTGACAATCAATCTGCCACCCATCCTCATGTTAGTCTCGTCCTCTTCACATAGTGACTAAAGAGATTTTGATATTAACAATCAAGGTCAAAATATTAAAATTACATTCATTTAATCTCAACTCTTATATTAAATTCAAAGATGAGTAATCGACACCTTATTTAATTATAAGCGACTAAAATAACATTTCATATGAGATAAACGGATAGTAACAATACGTGACGTCACGATATTTAGAGTTTATTGAAAATTTACTCAACCAATTACCTAAATCCCTGTACTGCAGTCTGTAGTGGTCGCTCAGCAGGGTATTTCAACAAGACCAAAAACAGCAGCGAGAATGTCAAAATCTCTTTTGATTCACCCGTCATGTCATAACACAGCGCAAAGTCGCTCGCAGCTTCTTACCCTGAGAAGACCTGAGATAAGCCCCCATTTGATCTCCTGGTTCTCCATCTTCCACCCCGATTTATCAACAAGTTTCTACTCCCACAACCCCGCCGAACCCAGATCCCGCAACCACCGCGCTCCTTCGATTTACCCCCAGCTCCGATCCACCATCGTTGACTGATTAACGACGATGGTTCGGTCCAATTGAAGACCCAGGAGGAGATGAACGTGAGCCATGGGTCGGTTCACCCAGTTGAAGATGTACCCACCACAGACGGCGCCGGCCCGAACCCACCCCGGGTCCGAATGAAGGATCTTCCTGGCATGCCCGGCACCCCGGGCGGCCTCGTCTTGCGCCTCGCCCAGTTCTTCTTCTCCGCCGCCTCGCTCGTCGTCATGGCCACCACCTCTGACTTCCCCTCCGTCACTGCGTTTTGGTGGGTAGCCGCCACAACTGAACCCATATCTTCTTTTTCAGCTTATTTTTCTCTAATTCTTTTAATTATGCTTTAATTTCCGTCCGGTAACAATTAGGTTTTTTGGTTTGTTCTGTTATGTGCGTGGTTTTCAGCTACCTTGTTGCAGCTACTGGTTTGCAGTGTTTGTGGAGCTTCTCGTTGGGCGTTGTTGACGTTTATGCCCTTCTAGTTGGGCGTTCCTTGCAGAACCATCGAGTTGTGTGTTTGTTCACCCTTGGTGATGGGGTAAGATAAATCGAAATTGGAAATAATTTTTGCAGATTTCGGTGTTTTCAACAATTTGGAGATGTGGATCTTGCTTGTTTTTGTTTGGTTTTATTTTTCTACATTCAAATTGAAGCATTTTTGACTTTTCGTTAGCATTTGTGAATTTACTTGTAAATCGCTGAAAAAGTTATTACCTTCCTTACGAGCTGTATAACGTTTTATTCAGTGGTATTGAATCTAATTGGTGCTGTCCTATTGCTAGTCACTGATAGTGCAAAAGCATAACGGATCTGATTCTCAGTCTAAATGAAGTGGTTGACAATCAACGGCTTTATCTTGTTTAAGAATCAATGGTGGTTTCACCTTACTCTCTCATTAGTTTGAGTGATATATTCGTGATAACTTCGGTTGTAGGAAGAATTTTGGGTCAGTACTTGGTCTATTTTGCAGGGTCCTACTTTGTTTTTTGAATGTTAACTTGCTATTCCTAAGTCACGATTAGATGATTATATTGGAAACTTAACGTATGTATGAACTTGAAACAATCTTTATATTATAGTCACTCGGAGCATTGATACAAAAGTAGATGCCCCAACATAGTTGATCAGTGAACTTCTATGGAAAGGAAACCTCTTTATCAAGTTCATGCCTGAATTACCTGAATATTTGATTTGTCCTACCCAGTGAAACCATGCTAAACAAATTTTGCAAATCCATGCGATTGTACTCTCTGAACTTGCTCCGGATATTCCTGTCCTTGTTACTGTCAACAGTTTTCCTTTTGTTTGCATAGAAGTCTCAGTTTGATTAGTTTACTTGTTCCCCATGGCTGAAACAATCTACTGTTATTTGCTGCAGGTGACATCCACTCTTACATTTGCTGCAGCTTGTGCTTCTGCAGGCATCACAGTTCTTATTGACAATGATCTTAGCAGCTGTGCCCACAACCATTGTGCCCAATTTGAAACAGCTACAGCGATGGCTTTCATATCCTGGTTCGCTGTGTTACCATCTTTTCTCTTGAATTTCTGGTCACTGGCATCTCGATGAATGCGTGTATGGTGAAAAAACACTCGAGAAGAGGATGATAACATGGCCATGTTCGAATGCTAGCCAAGCTTATTGTGTTTTGCATGATTTTTCTTGCCTGTCATGTACTGCAATGTGCTTTGATTGAAACTTGTAGTTTTGTGTGTATAGTTGCTTTGACATCAAATATTCGGGGTCGTGAATGTGGGTTGGTTAGTTATCTTGTCTACGAGGAGGTTGAATTGTTTCGATAATTCAACTTGTATTGTGGTGAACAACTAAACGTTTACATGAAGTTTGAAGAGATGTATGTTTTCATGTTCTAATAGATTCTGCTCTGCCATCAAACTCTTGATGCGCCTTTCTTTCCGTTCTCCTTTATTGCATGTACAAGTGATTTGGGAAGGAGAAAGAGCTGCATTTGATCTTTTCAGATATTTAATGTCAGATAGGATACTCATATTCTTTGTGGTTGACTATTTTGCGGCATTGCCTTGAATTTTGTTTATAAATATTGTGGTTGACTATTTTGCGGAGCCGGAGAAGAAATTCTACCATCGCAAGCGCCAACTGTGCCGTTTAAGCACAACAAATTAAAAATCATATTCACAGTAAAAGGAAAAAAAAAAGGGTGTGTGCATAGCTTCATACACATCATTTTAATTTGTGATCATCGGATTGACTGAATTAAAAAAAATTAAAAGACAGAAATTAACAAGGAATGTGTTAAAAGTAAAAAAAACTGTATGGATAACACATTCCTATAAATAAAAAAAATAAAAAAAAAAACTCTATTTCCCTATTTTTATGTAAAGAAATACCGCCAACACCAATAACGAGGGTTAAGTTTAAATACAAATCAACATGTAACAGCATAAAACGAAATTTACAAGCAATGATGCCAGGATTTCTCCGTCGCGAGAGACTTAAACATGTGATCATCTGATTGTATATAGGTCTCCGATGGTTTGAACTCTTGGCAAATCATTTGGCGGTCCAAGGAACCATGCAGTCGATGCAGAATAGTGAGGACATTTCATGCATTTCACGCGTCCTTCGTTAACAAAAAAAAATTGTTGGTAAACTCCAAGACCTCCCGTTTGCGCATCACTGAACATTTGGAAATGGGCGGTATACTTTCTCTGTATTTGCAACAGGACTCTCAGCTATGCTTCTAAGGGCTGGTTTGATTTTGCTGTGCTTTGAAAAAAAATTGTTTCTGCTGTGCTGTGAGAAGAAACTCATTTTTGTTACTTCACATTTTCAGCTTTTTTTTCATAAAAAACTGTGAAAATAAGCCATTTTTAAGTGTTTACCGAACACTTTTTTGAGCTCAACTTTTTTTTATACTTACTTTTTATAAAAGCACCTCAGTACTAAACCAGCATTAACTCTGGGTTACCGGTTTCCGACTTTCCTTCGAGATCCCGTTTGACACAAGGCAATCAACACATGTGTGGCCAGTGGCCAGTTGAGAACATCTGAGCAATATCAAAGTCTTGGAGACAACCTAAACTAATGTCAATTTCAGTTTCTGCGACAACATACAGCGCTTGTCGCAAGTTCGCACGCATAGTCTTTCTTTCTTTCTTTTTGTTTTCTTGTTTTTTAAAAATCTCGATGGTACAAGGGTACAAGGGAAATTTTATTAATAACAAAAAAACAAGTTATCTAGTCAGGTGAAACATAAACCTTACCCTTTAAAAAACAGATACAACAAAAAAGAATACACAAAAAAGAAGGGGGACATAAACCTTACCCTTCTAGAAATAAAAACAAGCATGATATAAAGAAAAGAGGGGGACATGAAACCTAACCCCTCTAAAACCAAACTTAAAGGTCTAAACCTGCAAAACAAGTCGAACAACACCATAAAGTCAGGGAAAAAAAAAGTGAGACAAGCCTGGATGCCGAGATGAACATAAATTTGGGAAGCGATAGCCAGGCAAGGCAACATAGTATGAAAACAAAGCAGCACGAGCCACCGACAGAGGAGAATCATGCCATATTAAAGATGGAGAAGAAAAGCCCATGTTAGCAAAATTGTCTGCAACAAGATTTCCTTCGTGATATATGTGAGATGTGTAGAAAGACATTTTCCGAACACTATTCAAAAAATAGACCATTGCATAGAAAGTTCGCATGCATTGTCAATCCGCACAAGTTGGACAAAAAGACACCAGGGGCGATTAAGCTCAAATCCAGCAACTGTCCACAGAACAATGACTGAAGTGCTCAAACTCTTGTAGACAAGTGACTCGGTTGACTAACTCTCTAAGTTTGCTGCCCCTAGGAGGAGGGAGTTTTTTCGCGATCTGTGTTTGATCAAAAGTAGTCAGTCACTAGTGAAAACAATAATTATACTCAGAAAAACGTGTCAACTGAGTACAATGAAGAGCTTGGCTTTGCTGATTAAGTAGTAACTAACTGAATCATCCGGCAGAGAAAGGATGTATCATAATTTAGGTTCAACCAAATCGGTGAGACACTTGCTATCCTCGAATATCAGATTGTTCTTCTCGTCAAAAATCGCTACCCCACCCCCGGCCACGTCCTTCCCATGTTAGTACCACACCAAACCTTTGCAATACAGCTTCACCCACTCACTCATGCTTGAGTACTTGAGTTTGTATTAAATAAATAATATTTCCGACTGCAGAAGTTAGCTAGAGCAATGTTCCTCCCTCAGCACTCAAGTTCGTATCCTTTCCCCATAGTTTAGATGTACTTCGTGGGTTTTAATGAGGGAAACAACCTGCGATGTGGCACATATGTCATCTTTTAATACTAATGAACATGCATGGTTGGAGTAGAAATTTTATCGTCGACCTTCACTTAATTCGTTAGTATGGTATTTTTTGGTGCTGCTAACATTAGATTAGCATGGTTGTTATCTTACGATGTAATCAATGTTTTTGGTCTCCATATGTTTGGAGGGGAGCCGAGCTATCCTCTTTGTCTCACATACTTACTGAGATATGGCGCTAGAGTCTCTCCTCACTTCTGCTGTCGAGGGGATGCTGAAAAAAGTTGCCTTTCTTGCCGCTCATCAAGATTTCGGCATGGCCTTGGGATTCAAGGATGAATTATCGAAGCTCAGCAAATCATTCTCCAGGATTCAAGATATCTTAGCTTGTTTCCAAGCAAGCACAAGGTCGAGGCAAGGCAGTCGAGGAGTGGGTGAAAGAAACTTAAAGATGTAGCTGAGGATGCTGATGCTGTGTTCGATGAGTTTCAGTACGAAGATCTCCGGCATAAAGTAGAACTGGAACACCACACCACGAAAAAAGGTACTCAACTTCTTCTCATTCTACAATCCAGGTGCAGGTCGTCTTAAAATGGCACATAAAATTAAGCACATCAATTCATCTTTGCGGAATCTGTAGAGTAAATAAAGCATCTATGATCAGTTTGGTTGCAAAAAAAATTGTAGCTACAGCAGGTTTGCATCAAAGAATTAGAGTGGACAGAGAAACCAACGCATTCTTTGGGAAGGATGAAAGAATCGTTGGAAGGGAGGAGGTAGCGACAAATATAGTTACAGCACTGGTCAACTCTCACAATCAAGAAAACCTTTCGGTTATGGCCATTGTGCGAATGCCGGGTCTGGGAAAGACAACTTTGGCCAAGTTAGTGTACAATGAAAATGAGATCAATAGACAGTTTGATAAGCAAATATGGGTGTGTGTTTCCCACACCTTCGACGTCAATAGAATTTTAAGTGGGATCTTAGAATCTCTTGTTATGTCACAGGGTCCATAAGTGTCCAATACTAAGTCTGTCATGCATCGATATTGCTCCCACTTAACCACCTAAACACACTCCCCTGGGTGGTATCAAGTCCAATGAACCTTAGGTGTGAAGTTTTATATAAAAAAACCTCGGTGTAATTAGAAATGGAACACCTATATTTAAAACTCAGATTGTTGTTGTATGTCTTTGATGTGAGACTCTGTTCACATCTATCTTGGCTTGTATCAAGCCAACCTTATACACCAACATCTCTAAACCATACAAGACTTGGGATCAAAGGTCAGGATGCACTTCTTAAAAACCTCCGAGAAGAGATAAAAGAAAGACGATATATTCTCATACTTGATGACGTTTGAAACGAAGATCCTTATGAATGGGACATTTTGATAAGTTGTATGTCAAAACTTGATTTTGCGCCATGTAGCTACATTATTGTCATAACCTGTAGTGCCAAAGTTACATCAATCACACAAACACATCCTGATTTAGGTGTGATTTGGAGAATAAGAAAATCAATGCTGGTGCATCTGAAAGATAGAGCATTTTGAAGAAGTTAAGGCCGCAGGTTTATAACTCTAGTTACATAATTACAACGATGTTTACAATTCCATTACTACATGTGTTGATGCACAAAACCGGAGGTCTTGGAATAACGTAAATCCGACCGTAAATCTGCATATAATGTAAATAACACAAGATGTATCATGATTCACCCCAAGGTTTGGGCTACGTCCACACTGATTGTATTGTATTTCTCTGAGAAGTGAGGGAGAGAGAGAGCTTTGAAAGTGAGAGCCTTGAGAGGGTGAGGAGCCTTAGGAATTGGCATCCCCTAATTGTAAGGGTGAAGGGTCCTTTTATAGAATAAGGACTCCTCACTTATTACATATTTGCCCATTCCTTTATTACATAATTACATTTAAGTCCCCCGAGTATTTATACGAGGTCTAAATACGAGGCCCTAAATATGGTATAAACAGTAGTCCCCTAAGTCTTCAGTCAAGAGAGTCTTTTGGCTGGAGACTTGAAATTCAGTCCATGTGTGGGCCGAAGTAACTACATGTTGTCTTGAACTGATGCTCGATATGAGACGGTGCTTAATCTGAAATGATGCTCAACTAGAAATAGCACACGTTGAGAAGCTGCTTGGCTCGTGGCTTATGTTACCTTGGTTGGCTCGGCTTGTGGCGTTTGAAGGTGAATGAGTCCCTTTTATAGAATAAGGGCTCACTCCTCAATACATGGATGATGGGCTAGAGTTGATGCTCTCTAATGATGGTGAGGGAGTCCCTTTTATAGAATAAGGGCTCGCTCCTCAATACATAAATGATGGGTTATGAGTGATGCTCGCGGCGAGGAGGTTGCTCAGCTGGCAGCGTTGCTCTCTAATGATGGTGAGGGAGTCCCTTTTATAGAATAAGGGCTCGCTCCTCAATACATAAGTAATAGGCTAAGTCCCCTAAGTGTTTTTCATGAGTGCTCTCTAATGAAAGTGAAGGAGTCTCTTTTATAGAATAAGGGCTCGCTCCTCATTATATAAATAATGGGCTAAGTCCCCCAAGTATTTTGTATTTTTCATGAGGCCTAGTTGAGGCCCAATATATGGTACATAATGTAGTAC